GGTAGATCCACTGCGATAAAACTGCAAGGTACTATTACTTCAGAAATGTTATTGTTTATCGTTTATGGAAATGTATAATGTTATCTAACGAATAAATAAGTATTTCTAGTTATTTACTATTACCTCGTATGTTGAAAGAACAGTGTATGCAAAAAGATACGTTAAAAGTCTGAAGATGATCAGCGCAATTCCATCTGAATGGCATCACAATCCCTCTATATAGACTGTAATGGCACCCAATTACGCATTATTTTTATACGTGTTCGTAACATTATATGAGTCTTTTTTATTAGGTACCACAAGGAACTCTGGTGAATGGTTGACTAACAATTTGAGGTTTTTATAAAAACTGGAGGAAAACACAACGGAAGTACGTTACACCTTAGATCACGGTGAAGAGACATCTATATATACCCCGAGTGGAGACATCGACACGTCAATACTGAACGTATGATGTGTGACGTAATGAATGGGAAGGTTTTTGGAATTAAGACATTTCTGTGACTGTGTCATTCAAATCGATTAGCCAATATCACGTACTAGATGGTATGTATTGGCAAATGACTCGTTATAATTACGCACGAAAACTATTTGAAATTCGCTTTAACATATTTAGTTATTCCGTAAATACAGCATACCTAGTAATAAAAAAACTATCATAGTGCAAGGCCCACTTGTAATATATCAGGTATATAACACATATTGACTGGTAAAGAGGGCAATATCATGCGACTTTTTTATTTGAGGGAATGTCAATTATCAAAAACATTATATTTTCTGTGTCTGAATATTCTCAGTTTCAGTTTTTCATTTTAATGCATTCTACACGAGTTTTACATTTGGGTTCATTTACATGGAGTCCGATCGCTTACCAGCAATACTCGAGACAAATCCTGTTGCGGTAATGCTTGGTTCAGTTTGCTTATAGTTATTCCTGCTATCAAAGAGATGGTTCATGTTGTCGGGACCTCCGAATACAGCTCCCTTCAGTGGTTGTCTATTTGGCTGGTGACCATCACGCCATGCTTTGTCACATGGTGCTGGCGGGTCTGGACAGGAGCTTGATAAACGAAATATTTTATTTTATTCTATGTCTTGAATATATTACTGACTACAACATAATAACGTATTTTTCGAATTGATTGTAAATATAATACATATATGTTATTCAAATTGACGACATACTAGTTGCTGCTATACAAATCACAAATAATAACGTCTTACATGAGCAAAATAATTGTGAGAAAAGTTTTCAATATTGTATATTTGC